TTTAAATAAAAAATTAATTGACTTTTTATTGTTATTGCAAAAATATTTTAAGTTTTATATTGAGTGAAAAAGTGTGCAGATACTTTTGTCCACTCTCTGTATCATATACGTTCTTTTTTTTAATAAGGTATTCAGAAAACTCTTTGATAATCAAGTCATATTATTATTCAGCATCCAAATGACTATTAGTGGTATAATATTCAATCTTATCCAAAATCGTTTTAGGAAGGCGTGAATTTTTAGGAGCTAAATCTATTATTACTAGATCATATCGATGATTATAATTATTATCGAACTTGGTGAGATGTATGATATTAGTGTTTTTACCAAAATAAAGCATACTTGCCATAGACAGTTTGTTTTAGTCGAAATACTATCACGATATAAATTAATATCCTCTACCTTTCTTAGATTATTAGTTCTAGCTTTCCAATAGCTATATATATGACAGTGAATAATAGTTTTATTTATAACATTAAGATTCTTACGATATTTTATAGCAACAAATCCTTTTTACTTTATGTACATATTAATAGTAATATCGATTACATTCTAATCTTCATAAGTATCATTGATATTTAAGGTCATTTCTGTTGTATTAATATTATTAATCTCATTTGTATTATTTTCTTTATTATTAGGTAACCTATTGATTTCACTTGTTATATCTAAAAGCACTCTGACTTGCATTTCTTTATTTATAGGTTAAGATAATAGTTGATTACAATGATTTGATATTGAGAAGATTTTTAATATTGAAATGAAGTTAGAAATATTTTGAAAATAAGAAAAATTTGAGAAATAAGGAAAGTATTCGTTCAATAAATTCTTCAAGTTAGTTTAAACTGCAATATCAATTTCTTTAATAAAAGAAAACAATTATAATAGATAGAAGAAAAAGAGCAATTGTAAGTAAAAAATTGAATGTTTGACTTGTTTTGACATATAAATGATTAAATCAGTAATAGCGAAGGGTCACAATGCAAAACATTACGTCAACCAAAAAATCAAGAAATATTATATCACGTGACATAACGTAAAGATAGTTAAAATAATTACATTACGTGATGCAACGTGAATTGGTCAAAATAAGATATATCACATGACATGATACAAATACAAATAAACAAATAAATAAAATGTAATCATATGATGTCGGTGATAATCACCATCAGTGATACAAAGTAATTTTCTTTTTTATAATTAATTACTTTTTGTAATTAATTATCAAATGATAATTAATTTTACTTATAAATAATTTCAACTTATAAATAATTACATAATTAATTATATATTATATATTAAAATTATATATTAAGTTTTTTGTAAATATTATCATTAGATTCATTTTTAGTTATCTTAATGTCTAAGTCAAAAGACTATAGCAATTAGTTCTAAGATTTTTATTAAGTTCTACAGATATCTATTATACTTAAATCAACTCAGTAATTTATTACATTTTAGAATTTAAGATATATTTAGTTAAACTCATAATAATGAATTTAAAAGTAAATTAGTATAAAATATTATAATAAATTTTAAATAAAAGATAATGTTAAAGAGAAAAAGTAATTTGTATCAATTTCAATTAATTCCTTTATTAATAACTTAAAACTCATAAAAAAGAATTTATAACTTGAACAAAAAGCTATTTATTTATATAAAATTAATTTATTATAATTAACTATATATAAAATATATAATATAATAATAAAAATTAAGCAAATAATAAATATAATAAAGATATTTAAAAATGAAAAGTTATCAATTATTACGAATATAAATAAAATTTGCAATATTAGAAGAATTAGATAAATTCAATCAATTAAATAAATTATATAAATCTTTAGTATTTTTTTAATTATTTATCACAATAATTATTGATTATTATCACCTGACAATTTTTATGTGATATTTTTTGCATTTGTAGTAACATCAATTTTTAATACTGATAATATTTATCATAATATGTATATCTATAATATTAATTATATACTATTATATAAAAGATAATAAATAATTTATCTTATAACTAATTAAAATAGTAAAATTTTAATTATTTTTAATTAGTCAAAAATAAGTAATATTTATTATTTTAATATAGGTTTATCATATTAAATTATTAGAAATTATTATAAAGAAAAGAAAAAACTTCAAAAAAAATCAGATAAAGTAAAATTTTTTTTTTGTATATAATATATATTTATCATTTTTATACTACTTTACTTTTTTTTGTATCACTTATAAGTTCTTGATATATATATATATATTATAATACAAAGGTGTTATCAATTTTATATAAGAAATTAATATGATTTTCTTATTTAATAATAAATTTATTAACTTATATATATAACTTTTAGTTTGGATTTATATATAAATGATAAATACAAAATGCTTAAATTAGAATAAAAAGTAAAAATTAACAATCAATTACAATCTTTTATAAAATTAAATATTATATTAAAAATGATTCATTAATAATTAAATTTTTTTTTTTTATAAAAAATATTTATTAATTGATTTTAAATGTAAATGTTTCATTAAAAAAGTAATGCAACATTCATAAAGTAAGTAAATGCAAAAATATATACAAAAATGTTAAATGTAAATATTACTATTTTATACTAACATACTACACAATCTTAATGCTTTTCACAAATAATATTGTTACCCATTATTTCTTGAGTACTTGGAATACTTCATAATCATCCACTTGAAAATAATTAGATTTATCCCTAATTTTATGTTCATATTTCAAACCGCCAGAAGCATAGCTACTGGTTCCTTGATGAGCATTATCAATAATTTTTAACTCATAAAAACCAAATGAAGGGCCAAGTCTATCATGCAATTGTATGGCCTCATTAATGCCATCTTTTTTGATTCTCGATATCTTAGACTTGGATATGACGTTATTGTTGGAACGATGAGCATCACAATAAGGATTCGTTAAAGAAAAAATGAAGGAATCACGTGTACCGCGCCACTCGACATCTCTAGGTGAAGACCAACCGATTGGATTATAACCACCTATTAGTTCTTTCGTTTCGCCTACTCTAACCACAACTATTGTCGCACCTTGACCATCACATTTGTTGTGAAATGTCGATGCGCTAAATCCATCTCTGCTTCCACGAAAAAGCAACCTAAAAAAAAAAAAAAAAAAATTTTTAAATAAATAAATAAATAAAAATGCTTCTTTTTTTAAGTTTAGTTACCTGAAAATGTATGGAATGGGAAATAAATCGATTTGCGGTGTGGATTCAGAAACGCTCTTTCTATCTATCCAACAAGCAATAAGAGCAGCTTGCTGATGCGTGATAATAGTAGAATCAATTGTTCTCTCCGGTAATGAAAGCGGTATAACAGAAGGACTTATAGGCGGTGATAAAGTTTGACCATTAGTTTGATTTGTGATGAAATGATTACTAAGACTACTAATATAATTAGACAAGTAAAAAATATTGGAGGATAAGATTGGTGACATTTCAGAGGGAGAAGTTCCAGGACTCACTAAACCACTCGTATTAATGCTCAAACTATTATTATTATTATTATTATTATTACCGGCTTTAGTGGATGAGGAAAAATGACGCAATAATCTAAGTTTAAGATTTCTAGGTAATATTTCAGCAAAAGGTCTAACTTTGTTATTGAAATCCTCCAAAGGTAATTGCCAAAATCTAATTAATGGAATACACCGTTGTAATGTTTTTTCAAGAGCACAAAATTCCTTTGTAGACCATTTAAAAATATGATTACTTTTTATATTAAAAGTGTTTGTTAAACCCCAACTAATTAAATAATCCCAAATTTTTCCTTCTTCCATGCATAAATCATCTCTTGATAATAACGATACTAAAGTTGTTTCATCTAAATCCATAAATTCTTTCGAATCAAAATATCTTTGTGGTTCAGGACATACTATTGATAAACAATGTGATCGTAATTTACTACAAGCGTTACGTTCTATCACTGTATTTAATACATAAAGTATGTTATCCTGAATCCATTTTTGTTTATGTTTTAATAAAAATTCTTGAAGCGGATATATTAATTCTTCAAGTATCAATTCATCTGCTGCCACCAATAACTCCAAGATATCTCCTCCACCTAATTTTTCCAATCCTATTGTCCCACTATATATATATCTACAAATATATATAAACCAAATTAAATTTTTTGCATTTCGTACTGCTAAAAGAAAATAATTATCTTTTTTTTTTTTTTTTTAGCTCACCTTAATATAACTTCAAACACAATCGGACTAATATTTGGTTTTTCAAATACAAATCTTTCTCCCTCTTTTCTCGCCCATTTACTCGACAAAGCTGCTCGAAAATATTCTGACCTCGCCCTTAAGATGATTGAATGCGCATGAAACTCTGGTTGTCGTATATATCTATTAGAGGTATTTTCAACACCACCACCACCACCAATACTATTATTTTCAATGCCTACTCTAATAATGACATCATAATCTTCTGCATATTCAAGTAGACTACACAAGTTATCTGATAATCGCGGGAAAAAATCCAAAGAATCCAAAGACATTTGTAAATATTCAAGTCGAAGAAAACTTTTTACGTTTTGTTTTAAAAAAAAAAAATTTTATTTTATTTTTTTTATTTATAATTTTATTTTATTTTTTTTTTTTTTAAAAAAAAAAAATTAATAAAAATAAAATAAAAAATAACAGAGTAATAAAAATTTGAACCAATCAAACATTATTTTAATATATTTATGTGGTTGCAGTCGGATGACTTTTTTGTTTGTCGATTTTATAGTGTGGCTTAGGAAATAATTTTTGTGATGCTTGTGCTTCCTATTGCGGCCGTTTGGTGCGAATCAACCTTTTTCTGCAGTTTTAGGCGTATATTTTACATGAACATTTCTGGCATACTAATATGCTTGTTGATAAGCATTATGCATTATATGTTGAAAGTTATGCATAATTACCTTTTTAACGTTTCAATTGTTGGTTCTTTTTGTCTAAAATAACTTATTAATATATTAAAACGTGATCATCAATAATAATGGATCTGCATTAAATACTTATCGCATGAAATTTTCTTTGTGTTTCTAATAAAAAATCGACACAATCTTTTAAACCAATTACAGTAAGTGGTTTATTTATATCGTGGCATGTAAATAATAATTGGGTAAATAAAATGGCAAAAGATTCGACGAGCGGTATAACTCCCGCCGAAATTTTAAAAAAAAGATTTTCGGCGATGGCTTATGATCTTCATGTTCTTTAAAGGGAATTAAATTTAATATAGTTAAATCCAATTTTAAGTTATTCTTTGTTTATGAATTTAGGTGAATTGATATACAGAACTTGTAATGCTGGTATCTTGATTTTTAAGTAGTCATATCAAACAGAAATTATTTTTTAATATTCTATATAATTAAATCAATTATTATTGAAGAATTTATAATTATTACTTTTATTTTAATTTTTATAAATTATACAAAATTATTTAGATAAATATATTATTAAAAAAAACTAATAAATAAGATTTATTTCAAAGCATTTAAATTAAATTTAGATTAAATATAAATAATCAATAATTTATAATATTAAAAAAAATTATCTTCTATTTTATTAATAACTTAATTTTTCAATAATTAGTTTTATCAAATTTTAACATTTTAAATAATATTATTAGATTATTATAATATTTTAATATTAATATAACTTATATTTTAAGTATAATAAGCTTATAATTTCTGAATTATTTATTTAATATTAATAAAACATTTGAAATATATCTAAAAAACTAAAATTTGTTTTTAATTATTATTAATAATTTCTCTATAATATTAATAAATTATTTATAATTTTAAGATTTAGTTATTAATAATTAATAAGTTACAAATATATTAATAATTGAAAAAATTAATCTTACATTATATGTAAAAATGTTATTAGTTTGATTCAATTCAGTTAAGTTCAAAAAATACAAATTTAGTTTTTAAATTAAATTAATTTCTAATTAATTATTTAAAATTAAAACTACAATTATGATTACAATACTAATTTTAGTTAAAATTTTTATTAGTTAATTAATACAATTGCGATTTGTATTTTAAAAAATCTTAAGTTTAAATAAATTTAATAATTATTTAACAAAAATATAATCTGTTTGATAATTTTATTTATTATATTTTATTTATAAAATAATATTATTAAAATATTATAAAATAGAAATAATAAGTTTAAACAATTTTATTATTAACTGAACTAATATTTTCTTTTATTTAGTTTTTCAAATATAAGAAAGTATAAATTATATTAGAATTAAATAAAAAAGTAAGTAATTTTAAACTTGAATTAAGAATAATTAAAATAGTTGTAAAGTCTTTTAATAATTATCAATTTTTTTGTATATAGAGTCTATTATAATGAATTTTTCTAATATCAATATATTGAAAATTTCTATAAAGTTAATTTTATATCACTAATAATTAAATATAAACTTAAAGAAAGAATTTTTATTACTTTATATATTAGTTTTAATAAGACAATTATTTACAGTAGTAAGAAAATGGGGTTTTTAGCACATTTCGATCAAATAAATCCAGGATGCTTTCCTGAGTATTAAAAAATATATTCATAGTGTAATCTCATTGTAAATATACACGTATCTTTTAGAAAATTAATTTACTTTCCTGATTGTTATTCGCTTTGTAAACTTTTGCTTTCTATATGTAAAAAATTTTTTCACTTTTAGCACAAATAAATCTGAAATCTTTTTGGTTCTCATTTTGGATAACATAAATTTTTCATATACATTATAATCAATTTACTTTCTAATAGTATGCTATTTAAGTAGCAAGAGAGAATAAGCATGAGAAAAAGTAGAGTGATGATAAATACGTGTTAAATGTAAAAGAATAAGTATGAATAAGCAAAACCTTTTAAGGTGATGCTAATGAATACGCATTTGATAGAAGAAAAAATATAGCAGGAACATGAGTAAAGCCTTTTAGGGTAAAGCAAATATGAATGCTATATTTTTTTGACCATATGCTATCTTTTTTTTATTGTATACTATTATATGAGGCATATCTGAAAGTAATTATGAAAGCAAACATGGTTTACTTTAGGCGGAGCATAGCAGAGCCTTTGTGCGAAATAAAGTGAAGCACAGGTAAATAAACTATGAAAGTAATACATGGTTTACTATAAGTAAAGCGAAGCAGAACATGTATGCAAAACATAAAAAAAAATTCAAGTGATATAAATGACATATATATTAGATTCCAGGAATATTCCTAGAACATTCTCAGCACTAGCCTATCATATTTCCATTACTAATCTGAATTTTTGCAAGCTTTCGCTATTAATAAAATTCTCAAATATGATATTTATCTGCATATTTTCTACAAGCACTATAAACAGAGAAAATTAAATTTCTATATTTTATACAGGAAACATGCCTAAGAGACTTTCAATGAACTTTATACCCTTCTAGCTAATAGTACCTCTTATTGCATACTTCTTCAATTTTAAAAATATATGGATAATTATAAAATCTCATTTTAATAGTCTCTTCTTTTTGAATAAATATATAACTCTAATTATCCGAATAAATTAATTTTTATTTTAAACTTTTGTAACTATATTTATCTTTAGGAAAAAATAATCAGAATACTTGCTAATATCATTGGCATATTACAGTAGAGGTCATAAGTATTCAAACACCTGAGATCGTCCAAAATTATTATATAACTACCTTTAAATTTTCTAAAAATATAATGTAACATAATATATGATTACCTATAAATTTATAAGTGTCAATGATACAAAAAAAAACTTAAATGATTATCAAACTTTCACTTAAAAAATGGAACTTTCTTTAGAGAAATGATATGAAATTGTCTTTTTACATGAGCATCCAACTGGTCTAAAATTTAATTTTGGATTTATTGCTAAACAGGTATATTATAATAAGTTTACAGCTATTTATTAGATAAAAGATATCATGAAAATCAGAATCTAAGTACTTCAGAAAGACTGGAGTAGCCTTGTATAATATCTGCAAAACAAGATGACAGAGAAATAACAGCTATTCAAATACAAGAAAAAATGGAAGAAAGAGGTGTTAGGTTTAGTGTAGAAATAGTAAGGTAACGTCTTTGTAAGTCTGAAGGAAAGTTTAGTAATAAAATTTCTAAACTTTGCTTAAAGAAGACTATCAAAAGAAAAGGTAGAAAAAAAGTGTTTCATTCTGTTAAGCATTTACCAAAAGTCCATGTTTAAGGATGTTTTTCTACTTCTGGATTTGGTAAGCTATTTTGCTTTTAGAGGAATCTTAATGCTGAATTTATGTGTACTATTTATGAGCAGAGTCTTCTGGCTTTCACCTCTAAACTTTTTGGTGAAGGTAACATAAATTGGATCTTGTAAGAAAATAATAATCTAAAGCATTGATCAAAAATCACGAAAAAATAGAAGGAGAAAAATGGCATTAAGGTACTTTCTTGGCCATTAATGTCTCTAGACCAAAACCCTATAGAAAACGTTTGGAGATTAATGAAAATTAATATACAAAAAAAAAATTTGATTAATTAGAGGGTTAAAGGGGGAACTTACAAAAGAGTAGAATTGATGATTACCTGTACTTGCTACGAATTTGGTAGCTAGTATAAAAAGGTGTACAGTTGCACTTATAGAGTCAGATGGTGACTACACAATGTATTAATTTTAGTTAGTTGGTTATGTATTTTAAATAAAAAAAAAAATTTGAATTTATTTACTTATAGCCAGAGTTAGAGGCGGTCAGATATTTATGACCGCTACTGTAAGATGATTATTCAGATGAAAGAGTGACTATGAGACTGCTTTAACTTACCAAAATATTCAAAATACTTAAAATATTGAAATAAGATGGTATTCAGCAATCTGAATATTCTTGTTCTGAAAAAAAGAAAGTAACAATATTGAGTTTTATAATAGAAGTATACAATGGATTGATTCTGAAAATAATTTTCATAATTTATCTCAAGATTGATTTTTAATCAAGACTAACCCAAATGAAATACTCCAGGAAGTGCATAAATGATATAACGAAAAAGCTAGTGCAATCTCATAGTGGAGTAGGAGTCAGATTGATTTATGAAAAACTAATACATACGCTATGACAAGTTTTGTTTCTTTCAAGATGTCTTTAGTGCTCTTAAAAAAGCAGAAGACTTATCATAAGAAGAAGACCATTGGATAAGATCAGCATACACAGGAGCTTTAACATAGGCTGAACCATATAAAGAAATTGCGACTGAATTGGATTTTAATGAATATTATCTACATATCTTATCTAGTTATATATTAAGCTGATCAGTAAGAGCAGGGGAATTTAAAACAGTCACACATATTCATAATCTAAAATATGATATTTATCAAGTCTTTATAGAAGGTCAACCAGCAGAACAAAAATGTATAAGAGGATTTTGTTATAATCCTGCAGGATATTACACTCACTATGATTTGTTAACAGCAATAGATTTAGGTCTTCACATAGAGTTATCTTTTAAAAATCCTAATACTCTAATATTTGAGTAAACTAAGCTCATAAGCGGATATGATATTTTTAATTAATAGGCAAGTTATCTTACAGAAATTAAGAAAGAGGGTGGGCAAATAGGGAAAGTAGCCAAATATATGCTAGTATCACTCTGAGGCGATTATACTCAGATGGAGAAGATCAGGATCACATTGATGTATAACACCTTTTATTTCATAAAAGTGATGCAAAATTATTTCAAAAAAAATTAGACCACTAGAAGATCATATAAAGCGTATTTATACAGATAGTTTTATTATTTCAGATAAAAATACTGAATAGCTGATAGAAAATATGTAGGTGGGAAGAGTGATCTAAAAATTGTAAAATCAGGTCTCATGATAATAAAAAATGTGATGAATCTAAAGTGAATCAATTTTGAGAAAATAGTTCTATTATCCCTAAAATTAAAAAAATCATCTATCCATTTTATATCTTTGCCAAATAAGATTCTCGATAGAATTTTCCAACATTATAAAAAAGGATAGGAACAAGAAAATGTATCCTCTTTTATTTGTTAATAAGCAATAGAATGATAAAGGGTTTATTAAAATCAAGGTAACTTAAGATCGGAGCTTTGATTAACATTTCTTTTAGTCTATTAAATGCTATCTGTTGTTTGTCTTCCCAAAGGAAGGGTTCATCTTTCTTTAATAAAGTGAGCATAGGTCAAGCAATCCTTGAAAAGTCTTTGATAAACTTCTGATAGTATGAAAATAATCTGAGAGCAGCACGGAGTTGTGTAAGTTTCGATGGTCTTGGGTCTGGACGAATTCCGTTTCGTCCTACTACATGTCCTAAGAAATGAATATTTCGTAAGCAAAAATAGCACTTTAACTTAATTTTTAAGTTTGCATTCTGAATAGCTTTGAATACTTTGGCATATATGGTCCATATGCATTTTGAAGCTTCCTTTTGAATAGATTATGACATCATCTAAATATACAGTAACAAAATCTCCAAGAAAGTCTTGTAAGACTTTATTGAAAGATTCCTGATGCATAACTTAGTCTGAAAGGCATTACTAAGAATTCGTATAGCCCGAAAGGTGTTATAAATGCCATTTTCTCTATATCTGCTTCATCTATAGCTACTTGTCAATATCCACTTGCCAGATCCAATGTAGTAAACCATTGGGTGGCTTCAAAACTTTCTAATAGGTCATCGATTCAGGGTAAAGGATAGGCATCAGCTTTGGTAATAGCATTTAATTTGCAATAGTTGATGCAAATTCTCTTGTCACCACCTTTCTTATCTACAATTACTACGGGCAAAGCCCAAGGGCTTGAGAACTTCAGACTATCCCTTGTTCTTCCATTTTGACTATTTCGTTCTTAAGAAATTCTTGATTCTTTAGATTAGTTCAATAAGGAGTTTGTGTGATGGGCGATTACTAAAGTATCTGGGCTTTTAGAAGAAAAGATTTAAGAAATTCAGCCTGGCCAATGGCATGATAAAGGAGAGAAAATTCATGGTCCAGACCCAAATGTTATATACTGGCCAAAAAATAGGCATTGGAATCAATTAAAAATATTATTAAATGTATTGCTCCATCAATTCATGATCCTATTACAAGATCCCGAGTTTCATATCTCAATAGAGGCGGTGATTCTAGAAAGACAACGCGTGCAATCTGAATCTTTAAAGATATAAACATAGTAGTCTTTACTCATACAAATATACTGACCAAAGACTTTCAAAATAACTATAAGGTAAAAGCCCAGATTTGACAGCTTCTTTAGGTAGAATGGTGTAGGAGAGTGAACTCCTGAACGTATAGGAGAAAAGAAATTCCCACAAGTCATTATCTGGGATGAAGTATGTACAGTACTTAGGTATATTCTTGAAATGTTTATTAACTATTTGTTAGAGCAAAAATTCCAGGTAATCTGTTGCAGGGATGATGCTCAGCCTCTACCATTCTTTGGAAAAATGCCACACGACTTGTTAAAAGAGCAAGCTGATTACTATGAAGAAGTCTTGACTGATTATTGAGCCAAATTACCTAGACTGCAAGAGCTTAAGAAAAAAATGCAATGTCAAAATAACAGAGTGCAGTCAGACCTATTCCGTAAAGCACTTCAAACAGTTACAGAAAAATGGAAATATCTTGAAGCTGAATGGAAGCCTTCAGACCATATCTTGTCAGCACATCTACTTTCTTGAAGAATTGCTTTCCAAAGATGCTTAAAACTTCATCAAGAAAAATATCCTAATGTGCCAATTTCATTAATCTATAGGTCAAAAGATGGACACTTGTCCTTAAATACACTTCCTGACAAATTCTTAAAAGATATGTTGGCAGATAAAAAGTCATAGATTGGGAATTTGGATATGTTATGACTATTTACACTAGTCAAGGAATAATTCTTAAAGCTCCACAGAGTATTTGAGTCATTGATGAAAACCTAGCTTGGGATAACCTAATATATTTAGCAATTGGTTGTGTAGAATATTTAAGCTAACTCACTCAGGTTAAGGCGCCTCCATTACCTTCTGAAATTGCCCAAGAGATTGAAGAGACAAAAAAAAATAGAGCACAAATTGAGACCATCTATTCAGGAAAAACTTATCAGATATATAGACCAGGATAAGGAAAAAGGCCATGAATTTGATATATCTCAGTGGACAGTAGATTGAATTCATAATAGTTTGAGGCATATTAAAGGGAATGTACGTCTCATTTATCTTCTTTGCAACTGAAATCACAGATTCTAGTTCATGCCGGTGATTCAGATTAGTGATATAGTACATATACTGCAATTCAGAAGAGGAAAATAACAGTACTTACATAATTGTAAGATTTTATTTTCTAATATAATAAATATTCAGTTATTTGTAAAAGATTCCAATCAGATTAATTGAATTATATAAACCCTTTTGAAGGTGAACATAGTTCACAAGAGGAATATGGCTAAAAAACTGAGAAATAATCAGTGTAAGACCACAGGTAAGTTTACTACTAACTTTATGCAGTATTTACCATTATGCAATCCAGCCAAGTATGATCACACATATTATAAGGCAACTGGCTTTATCACTATCAAAAATATAAAACAAGACAGGGTTGTAGGTGTGTTTGATTATTCTGAGCTAAGTTAATATCTGAAGTCAGGTGCTCATCATTAATATTATTTTTTCGATTAAAGATATAGCATATATTATTTATGATGCAATCAAGCAGAATGGTGATACTCTACAGATCTAACTAATCTGAATCAGTGATCAGCTCAGAAGAATTTGCTGAGCTATAGATTTCTGTGCAATGATGTAATGGCCGATCATATGATCAGTCTGTGAAATATTATTTTTTCGCATATGGGAATGTTTCTAGGAAAATCAGATTCTGAGAAATTTTTGACTAAAATTAAAAGCTTAATCTAATAACATTAAAAATTAAAATGCAATAAAAATCTCAATTTTGCTAAAAAATTTCCAGAACCTGATTTTCCTAGCAATCAACCCATATATTAAAAGTTATGTATGTTAACTAGTACCTCTATTTTTTCCTAAACAAACATAAAAAAAATGTGAGAAGGTCTACATGCAACACAATACCTACCCTATAAGTTAATAGTGATGACAAAGCATGTGAGAACTTTAGAATTTCGAGATCGCTAGGTATAATACCAACTATGTCTTTCTGGTAGATCCACATGTGAAAAGATATGAAGAATATATTTGCATGTGCTTTCATAGAGCTCTTGGTATCAGATAACAATACTAATTACGCCTCATACCTCTTTATCTTTTTTCTAGCAAAATATAAAGCATGTTTACCCCCAGTTACAGATCGTACGCTGTGGGCTGGATATTCAATCTCAACAGTTTTGTCATTGGACGAATCACCCACGCTGACCAACATAATTTGCATCTCAGACACTATAATTTTGAAAAAGCAACTGATCACAGTACCAAATTGTTCTCATGCTCCCGCTGTTTCCTGCATAATCAAAGTACACCTTCAACAAACAGATCCTACTGCTATGTCAGTATTTCTCGAATATACTGTGCAGCTTTTCACAACATTTACTATGACAGTTCCAGTTCCACAGCGCTATCCATTGGTACTCTGAATGAACTAGCACTGACTTGTGCAGTTGCGTCCTTACAGCCCCATATCTTAAATGTACCGCCCACTGTACCTCCTCATACTGATAGCTCTTATATAAATAGATTTATCCCTTCTTCACACAAAGAAGAACTACTAACACTTTCCTCTAAATTTATTTTTGCCACTGAGTTAGAATTTTATACCGACGGATCTCTTACAAACATCGGTCTTCCTTCAATCAAAATGGGGCTTGCTTGGTTACAATGCAACCAAAATTCGCCCATGGTATCCTTCAGTACCGCTTTGACCTCCAGCTTTCCATCATCATCAATACCTGAATTTGCAGCTCTTTTTACAGCTCTTCTGACTGTTCCTTCAAACTGCGTAGTCAGAGTTTATACTGACTCAGCTATTATCATATCACAGTTCAACAAATTTAGTTTCCTCAAAAAGCAGTCTCCCACTTTCAGACCTTTCCTGAAAATCAATAATTTTGTGCTTTGGTCTTGCCTTTTTGAAGTGATCTCTATGCACAACCTGGACGTCCACTTAATAAAAGTCAAAGCGCACTCAAACAATCTTTTGAACAACAAGGTAGACGCTATGGCGAAAGACGCTCTCACCCTTCCCATCTTGCAATTTAACATGACGGCTGCTCCACAAAGCTTCTTTAAATACAACAACCAACCTATTCTTCTACCGATTAGACAACTTGTAAAGGACATCTTCCGACACAAGCATCTTCAGCAAATTTTATCATTGCATGTGATTAACAAATACCACCAATTCTTCAAAATCAATTGGTTCACTACCTCCTTCTGCCTCAGTGATAATGTTGCCACCAATCACATATCATACATAGCCTCTACCATAAGAATGAAAAAATTCCAACGACTGCTGGAAATGCTTTCTACAGTGGAAATTCTGAAAATTAGACATCTGTCGTTATTCCCGCCCTCAACCTTGTGTCCTCGATGTGAGGCTGCAGACGAAGACTTTTTCCATATATGGACCTGCCCAATGGTTGACTATCAAATGAAACTGTTCATACAACAAGTTAAAACTTACCTTAAAGACATTACCAATGCACAATCGATCAATATTGACAATCTTAATTGGTGAAACCTCTCAACTTCCTTCTCCTTTGTGGTTCTCATTAAAGGCATTGTTCCCACTACCCTCTTTGAACTCATTCACAACAACCTTCCACACATGCCTACAGCTTTAGCTGCGTGTTCATCCCTCATGCACTTCATTTATGAAGAATCACAACGTCTTTGGATTGATAGGTGTACCAGTCAATCTGCCATTGAGAAAGCTGCCAACATTAACCTCAAAGATAAAAAGGACAATTTCATTTCTTCAGGTTTTGAACTTCCCCATAGTATTCCTACCAACAACAATAACGCTGATCCAATAAACACCATGGTGCAACTTGGATCCCACTGGACGAATTTTTGGTGCAGTAGTGGCCAAGC